TTGGTGTACTCCAGTATCGAGTAGCGTCAACCATCTGGGAGTTTGTGTTGTGCAGGAGGATCGAGATATCGACAGCGAAATCGATGTTGTTAATTAACAATTTAATAGCTCGTGATCCCGTTTCAGGCGTCAAGCTAAATGACGCAGAAACAATAAAATTACTGGCACAAGATCAGGAGATGTACAAACCGCGTCTCGCGTGCCGATCAACACCCGAAATGTCCCAATACTTTCGATAGATCTCAGGGAGGGATGTTTATTTTTACATGCGGCCAGTCAGGCAGAATCCACGGTTTGCTGCAGAAGTGTAAACACCCGCCCGCAGTCTACTTCGCTTGTTCGTCATATAAATCTATCTTTCTCTGACGAAAGAAGGAAAAAAAATGCACGTTACACAACAATCTATTGAGAATTTTCTGTGTTTTCCTACTTTTTATTAAAACGTATGGTTATTGAAAGCTAGCCAGTTATGTGGTGCGTCACTAGAACTAGGATATTTATTGCTATTGTAGGCCTGCTACCAGCCTATAGGAGACTTTTGTTTAAATTCTAAAATAGAAATTTTACATGCCATGTCATAACGCAACCGCCACGGTGGTCTAGCGGTTAGAACGCTGGCCTTGTAATCCTGGGGTCTCGGGTTCGATTCCCGGCGGTGCCCGAATTTATAACTTGTGTTGGGCAAGGCCGTGGTCTAGGCAACACGGAGTTTTCCTCCGTGGCATCCCAACAATTACTCCATTCACACACAGAAGAAGGCAATGGCAAACCACTTCTGGATCATCTGCCAAGAACGTATATGAACAGGTCCCAGTCCGAGAAAAGGATGGAAGGATCTGTTCATATGGACCTGTCGTCAGACAGAACAATAAATAAATAAATAAATGATGGCCAAGGTGGTCTAGCCTTACCGAAATTACTTGCTGACCATCATTTCCCCGTTCTCCCTTATACCTTCGTTCTTGTCCAGTTAATAGTGACCGGAGTTTGAAGCTGATCTCTTACATTTATTTGCGAGTGGTCAGAATGAGCAAAGATTTATATTTTAGATTGTATCCATCACCTGAATGTTTTTTATTAAAGTCTTAAAATCACAACATTTCGAATGATGGATATTTCTTCGTTATCAGGTGTAGAGGGAGACACCTGCTGTCTTGGATCCGGAATACATCTGTTCCCGATCTATAGATCCAATAGAATAAGTGGGTTTTTTTATATCTTAATTGCGTCATGTTTGTGTTTATTAATACAATAATTTATTTACCGTCTTTACACAAACTTAAAAATGTTGTTAAAATTACTTAAAATTATAACATTTTTTCATTAGATACTAGGTCTTGTTTCATTTTACATT